TAAAGTAAAAGTGAGAAAAAACAGAGAAGCTCATGGGGCATTTTAAGCTCTTCTTTCCTAATCATTCATTCTTTTATCTTCCACCAGAGGAGCTAGAGATCTGGATTTTTATGATGGCAAGAAACCTGACTTTGCTCAAATCCTTTTTAAGATTCAATTTAGAGCTTCAAGGGGGTTCAAGGGCCATCGGATGTCATTAATTAAAGGAGGATACAGAGAATGTACCTTTTTATGTGTAGCTCAGTCCATCTAGATGTTCTTCCACTTTTCTTGGAAACATCCCTGATGAATTTAGACCTCATAAGTGGTACAAGACACAGTGAAATCCCACATCAATAGAACTGATTGCAGAGCAATTCTCCGACACCCCTTGTGAAAAAAGATGGACAAATCGAGAGAGAAAATTGCTTTTTTTCTGACCTCTCACCCATCTAAAAGAACCTTGTGAAGTATGCCTACAAAGAAATAGATTGCTCATATAACCGTAAAAGATTATTTACAATTCCAAATCAGAAAAAAAATGTATGGAAAATGCTAATAAAAAAGGAAAGTAATGATTTCCGAATTTACTTTGACTTGTATTTCATTGCAGACAATATAAACACAAAATATTGAATGTTTTGTCTGGTCAACTTTATTTAATTTGTAAATATACATCCTTTTCTGACATTCAGGCCTGCAACCCAGTAATCAGCTAAATTTGTTAAATAATTATGTGATTTGAAACAGGTGGTTGTAATTAAGATTTGTTTCAAAACTAGCATCCAAGAACGTTCTAGTCCGTTAAGAGCAAAGATGGGCAGAGGATCACCAGTTTGCCAACAAATACGTGAGAAAATTATTAAAATATTTAAAAACAGTGTTCTTAAAAGAAAGATAGGAAGACATTTGGATTTCGCCTTCAACAGTGCATAGCAAAATTAAAAGATTCAAGGCATGTGGAGGAATTTCAGTGCGTAAAGGACAAGGGTGGAAGCCTAAGCTGAACAACCTTGATCTCTGATCCCTCAGTTGGCGCTCCAATCTCTCAGGTGGCACTGTCATCATTCATCTATAACCAATATCACCACAAGGCCTGAGGACTTCTTTGGCAAACCTTTGCTAAGTACAACAATACTTTGTTACATCCACAAATATCAGTTAAAACTGTACTGTGCCAAGAGAAAGCCCTATGTTAACAGTGTCCAGAAGCACTGATGACTTCTGTGGGCTCAGAGGCATCCGGGATAAACCATAAGACAGTGGAAACGTGTACTGTGGTCAGATAAATCAGTATTTCAGGTTTTTTTTTTCAGAGAAATGGACGCCGTGTGATTTAGATCAAAGAAGAAAAGGGTCATACAGACTGTTAGCAGCCACAGGTCCTAAAGCCAGGGTCTGTTATGGTATTGACCTTATTCTAAAATGTAGAAGTGCGCCTGTTTTCGCGATTGTTTCAGAACTTCCGATTTAGTCGCCTATGAGAGAAATGACTAGGAATAATAAACAGTAGAAAACGATCAAACTACTTGCTCTGCAAACAAATGTTTGCATGACTATACAGACCAAGTATAATAATATAATAATAAAATATCAGTTTGCAACATCAAACCGCCAAACGAGCAGTTTTTAATGTCTAAAAATGGATGGAAGTGAATGAGACCGGAAGTCTCGAGCCAAAAAGATTCAAATAGCTGCTCCTGCTGGTCGGCGAAGAATGAGGTGAATAGGGTTGTATCAGTGTCCCTGGCAAAGGTAGCTTGCACTTCTGTGATGGCACCATTAATGCTGGAAAGTACAAATTTTGGAGTACAGCTACTTGACTGGTCTGCCTGCAGTCCCGACCTGTTTCCAATAAAGAATCTGTGGTGCATTTTGAAGCACAAAATGTGACAATGAAGACCCTGTACTTTTGCACACTTAAAAACTTACACCTGAAAGACTTTTCACTTGGAGCCTTCAGTCCCTAAACTTCTTTTAAGTGTTGCAAAAAGGAATGGCTTTACTGTTCCAACTTTTTTTAAAATGTGTTGCAAGAACCAACATTGGAATATGTGTTTATTTAAAAAAAATGATTGAGAGATTGAGGGATTGAGGGCGAAGTCCTTATTTATAGTGTTTATATGAACACGATTATCTTTATAATGATATAAATTGTGATTATGTGTATATGAAATTACAAATGACAAATGTAGCAGGGCATTAAATTACTGTTTATTTCTTTGCATTTTAACTTTGTAAACTATAAAATCATGCATCTCCTTACAGTTTGGGTCTCATTTTGTGAGCTAACTGACAGCAGTTTCCCCTGCTGTGCTGGCCACGCCCACTCCTGCCTCTGATTGGGAAGCTCCACACCCATTATGATGCATTTTTAAAAAAAAATTCTGAGGTAGACTTGAAACGAAAGTGCGGGGTGTCATGCCCTTTAGCTGTGGTCACACTAGAGTCTGAGCTTACGAAATTCTGTCATATGGCGCTGTGAAAAGGGGTGGGATTAAACAAGATGTTTAGACATTTAAAAAAGTGAGCGATTGGTCCATGTTTTAAATTTCTGTGCAGAGAAGTCATGTTTTTATCTTCGATTGGTGTCACGCAATCATGTGATGCGATTTTGCAGGTCAGAGTATAGAAGAGAATAGAGAATAGAAGTCTATGGGGAGAAAAGTCCAGTGTGACCGCAGCTTTCTTGCTAAATGTTGGAGTTATGTAAACTCTTTTTACATTTTAAAGTTTGATGAATGACTACTACTACTTTCCTATAACTAGAACGGTCCTAGGGCCTACTCACACTATACTATCCGAACCATGCCCAGGCCTGTTTCCCGGATTGTTTGAGAAGTGTGAGTGCTCTGAATCTGGCTTAGGCACGGTTCACTTGGCTGGCCCTAGCCCGGTTGGATGAGGTGTGCCTGAGTCCAGTTCACTTGGGCTTTAACGCGCAAGTTTGGGCTTTTGGCAAAACGCGCCAAAGCCCAAAACTGAAAGCAAGACGTGACTTTTAAAGGACTTTCTTACTGTTCAATGAACGCGAGCTGTCGTAGTTTATTAAAGACACAAACCCCTCACTGCACCACAGCTGCGCCTTCAGCAAACCTCCTAATTCCTGCACCACGAGGACTTTATGATTGTTTATGAGTGTCAAAAGTGGCAGATCTGTTTGGCGAAATATTTGACTGTGTGTCACCGCATCCCAAACGATTAAAACAAAGTAACAAGAGAAATCTCCAATAATCTGTAATGTGAGTGCGGAGCGTCGGGGGAGACGGGAGGGGGGACAATCGTGCTTTAGTCCCCTTCAAGGCAACTGTACATAATGTGAGTATGCCCTTAGCGTATATTTTCACAAAATTGGTGTCAATTAAAATGGAAAGTTTTTTCTTTTTGTATTTTGTGAAAAGTTTTGAATACATGCAAAGCTATTAAAATTCCCACCTTTTGCGTGGATATTGGAAAATGATTGAAAATTTTGTCATGCCAGGCCAATACATGGCGATATTGCATTTATACACATCTGCACATGCGCATAGTCCTATAGTTCACCAATGTTGTTTTGGTTGTTCAGTACTCACTCATATCTATAGACTGAAGAAATAATAAGATTCACATGATGTCACTGTTTTTACTAAATCATGTTTTATTCACCTTATTTTTCGCATGTGAGCGGATGCAGCCATTTGAATCTTTTTGGATCGAGACTTTCAGTCTCATTCACTTCCATTCATATTTAGACCTTAAAACAGCTTTTTATGCTGCTTGATGTTGTAAACTGACATTTTCTTATTATATTATTCTACTTTGTCTGTATAGTCATGGACCCACTTGTTTGTAGAGCAAGTAACTTGACCGAAGTTCTAAAACAATCGCGCAAACGTGCACACTTTCGCATTGAAGAATAAGGTCAATTAGTTAGTGATAGCTATTATTTTCGAAACATTATGAAGATGTAATTTTGCAATCAAGTAAAACATTTATGACATTAAAGCATCGTAATTAATTTACTTGGGGTTTCCTAGGAGTGCTTTGAGAGTTTTGACATAAACTCTCTCTTAACTGCTTTAATTATAATTAATGGGCTTTAATTATGAAAATTATCCTGAAAAGGAATCACAAATGAGTAAACGTTTAGTGGTGCTTCTGCTAAAGCTGGAATAAATTATTTATGATAATGAATAACTAATTTCTTGACTATCATTTTAAGAATATCTTTTACTGCTACCATTTTTGTTTCATATAGCTTTAGCCTACTGAAGATATTACAAATAAATTGAGCAAATTAATTTTAGCTCTAAACTTACTGCAAGTTATGTTGTGTATAAATTTATAATAAATATGTGGAAGTCCAACAGTATTAGTTCAGCTTATTAGAACAAAAGCCTAAATTGAGAAGAAGGATTTATATATTACATTGAGTTTGCTAAAACGGAATGTTTTTCTTTAATTACCTATTTTCTAACTCATCATCAGACCCTTAAATATGTTATTTATCACGAATGTGAATTCATGTTGTTTCCAAATATATTTTTCACTTGAAAAAAAAAATCATAAAACTGTAACAATCCAGTGTAGTGCATTGTGCCCAAGTTATGAAATGTGTGTGAGCTTTAAAATTGTTTATTGGGTCAGCCAATTGTTTTCATTTATTTAATTTGAAATATGTAGGAATGTGAAGGTAGTGTACAGGTAGATAAATATGTTTAACGTGGCTGTTTTTTTAAAAGCATAGACGGACATCATTCCGTATTTCAAAGGTTAAATTAAGTTTAAACCTCTTTTCACGTTTACTGTTTTTGTTGTGCGGATTCAAGTATGCCTGGACCAACAGCCTATAGTTTCAACTCTGAAAGCTTCAATTAACTTAACTGCATTTTGGCCAATCAACATGGCATGATTATTAAGAGTAAAAGAAGAACGAGTGCTATTGGCATATGAAGATCGGTGGCTTGAGACGTAGACGTCAGCTTGGCGGGGGGTAATAAAAACTCCCATTCATCCCGAGGAGGGGCATAATTGGCTTGACCACATCTAGAAACCTCTATCTAGAGTATATGTGGCAACAATGCTCTTGTGCATTGGGTGAACTCCAGAACCACAGAAACGATGGGTTAGAAAACTCTCCAAAACTTAAATGGATTACAAAGCACTCTCGTTACAAAACCAAACTCATTAAATCCTTTACACAAGCCATAATTAATGGTGCAATGATTGAGTCTAACGTGAGTCGGAGTTGCGAGTGGTGCGCTGGAGGAGGTGAAGGGACCGGCGCGCACTTGGATGAAAATCACTCAGACCACAGTCTGAGCCCGACAGGACACTTGGTAGTCGCGGTGTGCCTTGGATTCATCGGAACTTTCGGCTTTCTCAACAACACGCTCGTGCTCGTCCTGTTCTGTCGCTACAAAGTGCTGCGCTCGCCTATGAACTGTCTCCTGATCAGCATCTCAGTGAGCGATCTGCTGGTCTGCGTACTCGGCACTCCGTTCAGCTTCGCCGCCAGCACGCAGGGTCGCTGGCTCATCGGGCGCGCGGGATGCGTGTGGTACGGTTTCATCAATTCATTCCTGGGTGAGTCTGCTGTATGTTACAGCGATGTCATTAAAACAATTAAAATAGGGTTTGAATGCACATGTCTGATTAGATGCTTCAATCGCTACAATGTTTTTTTTTTAAATCGTGACAATGCCCTGTTTGTCTTGCCTATTGGAAAGGCTACTTTTGTTTTGAATGCGCATTTTCACAACGTGGCGGAATGTACTTGGCATTCTCATCTAGGACGTTTTAGGAATCTCTCATGTCTTACGTTCGACGTCCTCAAAATGTTAACGTTACTGTACAAGTAAAATAGTGTAGCCTATTACCAGTGATTAAAGTGTGAGAATAGTAGTCAACATTAGAAGTGCATCAAAAATGTTTTTCAAAATTGTCCCAGGACAAGAATGGGTCTTGTTCAATAATGTTAGGACAAATTTGACGAAAGGTTTTGTCCACTTCATACGTTGACTACTAGGCTACCTGTATAGGCTATACATCACACCTTCATAAACTTACCCTGATTTCACGCTTATGTCGTAGCTATATTATTGCTGTAGCATATTTTTTATACATCATTAGCTGTGTGTAAACTGCTCTTTAAGTGTTTTCAAAACAGTTATCATTTATCATTGCCGAAGTTTTATCCAAGTTATTATTAAGATTTCTCGTGAGGTAAATGCGTTTCGCTTCAGAAGCTCCTGTCAGGCTCGTGCGCGCGCTTTTCTTGTCAGTTTAATGTTCTCTTCGCCAGGGAGAGATGCTGATACCCCTGTTCAGCAAGTCTCATCCCTTCCAAAAGTTGCAGTAGGCTAAAATGAATAGCCTAATTGCAATTTACTTAAGTGAGTCGTTGTCATCTGTGGTAAATTGCCTATTGTTGGCGAATATTAGATTGTTGGAAAAGTTCCCTACTTAAAAGATACAATAGAAACATCAGACAAATTTCATTTAAACATTACAAACCATCAACTGTTAACCATTAAAATGTGTACATTTTATTGTTTTAGTGTGTTTTGAGAAATATCTCAATAGGATTTAGTAATTTGTTATTGCCACCAAAATAAACAAAATAGATTTTTTTTCAGCAGTGTAATTGTAGTATCATTAAAATGTTTTAAAATACTTAAATACAAACTCCCAAAGCAAAATTTCAAATATGATCTTAAATTGTTGGGATATAAATTAAGAAATGTGTCTGTGTGTGATTATCTTTGCAGTTTGGTTTGTGTTTGTGTTAAAATAAGTCAATTATATGCTTGTAGTGTTTTACTAGGACATCAATATTACTAACATTTCTGGTAGCTGTAAAAGTGTGGTAAAACATCCTTAAAAAAATAACACAGCAAATTCCACTATAAAATTTCATACTGTATATTGTTCCCTATTTTTATGCAATACAATAAGGGATGTAGTGCACTATAAACCTAGTAACTTATCCATCATATCTGTTTACACATAATAGAAAAGCAGGATGTAACTCCCCCTACTTATAGATGGCAATCAGTTAAACTTGTCTTAGTTATGGTTATGAGTTTTAGATTATGGAGCTACATCTATTTTGCAGTAACTAAAAGTGTACCAAAGTAAAGCCTTTTTCTGAAAATGTACCACAGTAGAACTGTGACATAGTTTGCTATAATGTTCATCTGAGTGACATGTAAATACCACAATACATGAAAAAAACAAAGTACTATCTGATATTATCAATGTACATAGCATTTCTGTCGGTATGTAAACATGATTTCGAACATTACACCAGAGAAAGGCTTAAAAGCGCAATACAAAAGAAAAAAAATCCAATCCACTACTGAAATTGAATGCTTTCCAAGGTTACAACCCACCTTAATAAGTTCATTGTGCTTTTTCAACCACATTGAATTTGTTTACCGATGAAGAAAATGAAGTTGGAATGATTTAATGTGTTGAAAACTCATTAAATAAGTCGAAATGACAAAGATTTGGAAACAAAGCTGATGAAAACATTATTTCCACGGCGCACTATTGAAAAGACTCATAAGTCTTCATAATTGAAAAGACAGATGTGAGGCAGAGGTGTATTCCTCCCCTGATTAAGGTTTAACACTCGACCTGAAAGTGAGGAGAGCTGTGTTCAGCCAAATGGGATAAATGCTGTCCTGTAGTTGACCCATAACACAGGCTCTGTAATGGGACGGAGGCGGGTATAGTGTTTCCAGTGAGCAAAATAGCTGATTTTGTTGATAATTAACAGGTGTCAATTTTCAGATGGTGGAAATCCTTTAGATCGACTAGGCCTGCGTTATATAATGTAAAATCAATGCACAAGAAGTATATAAGAGAAATCTAGTCAGTCATTAACGAATGTTGTTGATGTGTTATGACTGGTCAAAGCTGGTCTGCTAAACAAAGCTAAACGAACAACACTTTGTTCAGTAAAACTATGCTTACGGGAGAACTAAGTGTGCTTTTATAGAGAAAGCCTTTGTAAGCGGTTGTGCTTTTTGAAAGCCTAATGAAAATGGCCTCTCGTTGCTATGAAAAGGCTCATTACTCGCTTTCCTGATTAGCCGTCATCAGGAACCGCCATAAGTTGCTTCAGAACGTCTAATGATGTTAATTGTAAGCAGTGAGTGGACTGTATAGCTACTTGTTTCACTGATCTGTCTTGAAAAAACACTGATAATGTGCTAGCAATGCTATTATACTTAATAGACAAAGATACATTTGGTTTCATGTTTCTTTGAAATATCAGTACCCTGCAGCACATACATTGCCACGCTCAAGACATTGCTTCATCCAGACATGATATGCAATGTCAATGCTGGTGTTGCATATGCAAATCAAGTGGTTAAATATTAAAAACGTCCTTCAAGCTTATAATATAAATAGTCAAGCTTGTAGTAGCACTGTCCTATATGGTTGGTCAAAATTATTAGTCCCCCTGAATATTTTTTCCAATTTCTGTTTAAGGGAACAACAATTTTTTCAACATGTTTTTAAACATAATGGTTTTATTAACTCATTTCTAATAACTGATTTCTAGTAAGTTTGTCATGAAGACAGTACATAATATTTTACTAGATATTTTTCAAGATAGTAGTATCAAGGCTTAAAATGCAGTTTAAATCCTTTTCTTAAAAGGGCTAAAAATATTGATCTTAAAGTGTTTTTTTTTCATTAAAAACTGCTTTTATTCTTGCTGAAAAGAAAAAAAAAACTTTTTCCAAAAAAAAAATATTATAGGAAATAGTGTGAAAAATTCCTTGCTCTGTTAATCATTGTTAGGGAAATATTTTAATAAGCAAGAAGGGAGGACTAATAATTGTGGCAAGAGGACTAATAATTGTGGATTCAACTGTATATCGTATGGATAAAATACAAACTCTCTCATTTCATATTGGTTTGCTCTATCATTTAATTTCTGGAGTCACAAAATATATTGTTTACAATAATACCTTTTCATCGTTTGGATGAGCGCAATCTTACGCACAAGCTT